TTCTTGACAATAGTAAAAAAATATTACCTCATCTTGTGACCTACCGAAGATGATATTTTCAATTGTAGCTGTGTTCTATTATAATATATATTTTCTATAATATAATTATTCCCCACGGTAAGCACAACTCTAATTAGCATGTACGCACATATAACTTTGTGATCAGAATGTTTTTGTTTTCTGTTTATAATACCCACATACAACTCAATTGCACCCTCTCTTTTAATGGATCAGAGTCACCGATTGCAGTCGGGATATTTTGTTGACAGTTTAGCTTGTTAACGCTTTGATCATCTGCACCTTCGATATTAATGCAACTGACGTTTGATGTGATAGGAAACATATAAATATGCCTGTAGATGTATCTCAGAAACTGAAATTGGCCATTAGCTTCCAAAGCAGAGTACCATCTTGGAGTTTAGTTTAACACATTGTACAGTTAAAAACAACGGGATTGGGCACAATTGCAACCCTTATCGCCATTTTGGAGAAGGTATACTACTCAAAGTTTGTTAAGGATCGCCGATTTTAAAATTCAATACGTCAAACTGTGTGCAGGTGTTGAACTAGCCAAAGACAATATTGCATGAAGACATGTTTCAATTAACAAAAGTCCTTTGGTATGTGCCACACAATAACAACAAGCAACATTTGACCAATAACCAGTCAGTTCAGTCAGAATGAGTGTATCTGACCAAAACTTTAAAGTAAAAAAAATCTTGAAAGCAAATCCATTGTCCTTCGAAAACAACTCTCAGTAGCGCTTTTGTGATCCATGTGATGCGATCACAGCCTGGCATCGTCGTCTCATGCTCCCAATAAGTGTATAGATTGTTACCTAAGGAAGATTGTTCCACTCTTCGATACGAGCATTTCTGAGTTCCCGTACATGTTAAGTTGCCTGAAGGACATGGCGTCATGACAGGCTAAACTGCAGCTCATTCCACATTTGTTCGATAGGCTTCAATTGTTACCGGGCTGGCCACTCCATGCGGACAAATGGTCTTCAACTTTCAGTAGCATCAACGGCCCTGGAACGATGAGGTCGTGCGTTACGATTCATAAGGATGAAGTCCGGTCCGACGTACATGTTCAGAATGTCATCCCTGTAGCGCCCAAATGTCACCGTGCTTCGCTGTAGGTCATAGAGATCGGTTCTTCCAGCTCTACTCATCAAAACCCCAAATAATGATTGAGCCCCTACCATAGCGGGCATGTTTGGCTACGTTGGAATCATGAAAGCTTTCTCCTTGTCTATGCCACGATCAGGTACGACGATCTGTGAAGTCTAGATAGTATCTTGACTCATCAGTGAAAAGATCCCTGCACTGGCCTCGTGTCGGGGCTGCCAATAACATGTGAAGCTACCCAAAGTCAATTTATCCCACATTGTGTAAGGTTGTGTTTGCGTAACGTGACACATTCAATACACGAACATCATTAATTTTGACTGTCTGGAACTTTGGGATTACATCTGTCACAATTTTATTTTTTTGTTTTTCTGGGGGTGTTTGGGGTTTTAACGCCGTATGGACGTACAGTAAACTACGGTTATAACGAACACGCTTATAACGAACTGACGGATATAACAAACTTACCTTTTTCTTGCTGTAGTTATGCTGTACATGTGCTTATAACGAACTACGGTTATAACGAACTAAAATGAGTAGTCCCTTTGAGATCGTTATAACCTTAGTTTACGGTATTGCGAAAGAAAAAGCCTATAATGACGCCGATTTATCAATTCCGTGAAATCCACGACCACGATTTGGGGCTTACTGATCATGGATAGAGGTCCAGACAGATACCTATTCACATTTAGTTAATGCTTAAGCGCACGAATTATTGACACCTGTTGGTATGAACACAACGATAGCAACCTCAATATATTATCTCTAAAACCACTATTTGCACTTTTATTTATAACTGACAGTTACAATGTAACGTTAGTTGGGAGGCACCATATATAATCTATGTTGACTCTCTAACAAGCAATACTTGACAACATAATAATTTGTTTCACGCTCGTGATAAGCCTGACAGCCTCATGCACAACCGTATTAGGGACTACACATTACAATCATTGGATCTTAGCATGTGCGACACAAACACAAGTTTGTCATAGCAACTAAAAGGGACTCGACAAAGTACGTAGCAGTTTAAAGAGGTTGAATATGCATACTGCACCCCTGTGACATCCAAAGGAAATACATTAGTTAACTATTATGTACATAGAGAATACGCTACCATCTCTAAAGAATTCAGGGTGATCTCTCTCGACTGAATTAATTTTGGATGTTCCCAGACTTGGCAATGGCCTTTGCTCATAATTTCACGAGGACAATAGCCAGTCTTGTACCTGATATATTATTCAAATTTCTTTTACCAGCGTTAAACTAAACTCACTCATTCGTCACCCACTACACGCCTTGATCAAAGATCTACTTGAACGCAGTGTTGGTACTACATAAAAATATTGTTTTTTTCGTAAATTTTATGAATATAATTGCTTGGTGGATAAACAGTACCAGTAAAATTTCGCTTTCTATCACGGAGTTCATCAACACATAACTGTTACACTATAGACTCATGTATATATGTATGGAAGCATGAGAAAATGTCTACTAATCATAATTAAATATATATAGTGGTGCGATGCACTGGTGTACAGTAACACATATGTTAAGAAATTCACAAAATAATTACACAACAGTGTGTGTGTGTGTGTGTGTGTGTGTGTGTGTGTGTGTGTGTGTGTGTGTGTGAGAGAGAGAGAGAGAGAGAGTTATATTTCATGCATGATAAAGGGTCATATCGGTGTTCCATTTTTTATTTTTCCTTTATTTTGTAATTTCACCAAGGGGTGGCGTCAGATTTACAGTTGATTACTTGAGTAAACGTAAAAATCTCTGGAGATCGTGACCAGTAACATCAGTGTGTAAAATTTCATTTCTCTAACTTGAATAGTTTTTGAGGAAATTCGTCCACATTGAGAAGCGTCCGGAGGAAAGGACGGACGGACAGATCGACGAATTTCATTCCAATATCCCCCTCTCCACTACGTGGCAGGGGATGATAAACGCCTGCCGCGTATAAAGGCCTGGTCATAGGAGGGACATGGTGAAGAGATATTTAAAACAACAGTGAAATGAAACTGGATGCAAACACCTCTTTACACATGACACACCTGCCCGCCGGGTCGAAAGACATTCTGAAAAGAATACAGTCACTGCTTATAGTTTTTCTAAAAAACGTTTTATTTGGGTTCACATTTTCTAAGTGAAGTACAAATTCTGGTACTCTTTGGGGTTGAGTCACATCCGGGATTCGAACCCACAACCTCAGAGTGAGGCATCTAATCGCCAGCACACAAAGTCAGCCATGTCCCCAATAGAACACATTTCAAGAATGGCGACGTATACCACGTGACGTCATCAGACAAATGACTTTTTCCTTGCACCTGCGTGTGGCATGTCATTGAACTTGAGCGATTTCAGAATTGTGTGTCCTTTGTCCATTACGTTGGAATCTTGTTTTTGCTACCAAAGCTCAATTCCGACAATTGTCATGCCATTATCAGATGCTGTATGACTGTAATTTTAAATATTGATTTCGTTGAGATTTTGATCTTTTCAACAATTTTACTTCTTGCATCTATCCTTTGTGGTTTTTAAACTACAGTTAACTACGTTTATAACGAACAGGGTTATAACGAACTTCGTTTTGGTCTCAGCCATTTGCTGTAGATATGAGGTATATATGTTTGTAACGAACTAAGGTTATAACGCTCTGGAATTAGTGCTCCCTTTGAGTTCGTTACAACCATGATTTAAAACTATGGTGACGTATCTTTAGGCCATATTTCATTTGCGTCATAAATACAAAGTTATTTTTGGAAGCAAACATATTTAACAACAGCAATCTGATTGGATATCGCGTTTTCATCAAAAGGGACACAACTCGTGTTCTACACGGGTTGGCGCCACGATCGAGCCAAACAAAAATAGGCTTGAAATGGCTAATGTGGAAACTAATCCTTGATATATGCCCCGGGAAGAATGCTTTAAGCGATCAGAGTCCGGTTTATCTCGAGTGAAACCGAGTTTGGTGGGGGATGACAAAACGCAACATGGAAATTGAACAGAGATTGTTTACGAGATGTAGTTTGGTATCTGATTCTTAAATATTTGAATAATTACATAAAGCGAGGTACCTTTAGTAGCCACAAGAGTTATAGTGATCAGTTTAATATATCAATAATGTGCTGCGTTTCAGTAAAACAGACGAAATTCTGACATTATGTTTTAGAAATATGCCAAATGAAAGTTTACCATGCATCTATCAAGCAATCAGTTTCTCAGTTGCAATATAAATGCCAGTCATCATACTTATAAAATGCGTCCTACGAGTAGGTACCCTGAGTCATCACAGGTGCTACTTTAAATGGTAGTACATTATACAGATTTGTCCCAACAAAAAACAAATCATACTGTTTTGTTTGTTTGCTGTTTAACGACGCACTCAGCAATATTCCAGCTATATGACGGCGGCCTGGACCAGACAACCCAGTGATTGACATCGTGAGCATCGATCCACGCAATTGGGATACGATGACATGTATCAACCAAGTCAGCGAGCCTGACCATCCGATCTCGTTAGTCGCCTTTTACGCAACTTATTACCAACTGTATTTGAACAATTGGTGTATTTATAAAAAATAGAATACAGCAATTAAAAAATGTGTATACAACGAGGTCACAAGACACTAGACACAAGAAGTATTTTCTTTATGCTATAATCTGCAAAAGCAGATTAACATTTCTGTCGTAAATTACTTTGAAAAAGGGCTGTTGAGTACGTGCTACAAAATTGCATGGATATACAAATCCTTGAAAGCATAAAAAGTCTTGTGTTCGTTCGAAAGGTTGTAAATATACGTGGACCATGCTGTCAAGTGTTTTCACGTTGGCCCCGCCCCATACCTTTGTTGTTGACAACAGAAGACACCATAGGAACACATCCTATAAAAGCAGCAAGACGCCCAGCTTTGAAGTGTGGGAGTCCGGGTGGAGAAACCAAGGTTCATCAAGATGTGGAAAATGATGACATTATCGTTCCTCATGTGTAAGTTACATGTGTATTATCTGATATTAACATAAATGGGAATCAACGTCTTTATGCTTTCAATGCAACGTGGTCCTTTTTCTGGCTTTTCTATGTGAATAATGTCTTTGTCAGTCTGGCGTTTGGTCAAGCACAATATTTATAACATACTTAATAACGCTTCGTCTATGCATCTGGCTGTAGATTCAGATTTAATTTTCCTATTGTACATTGTATTGATTCAGGTTAGAATAACAGCTCGTGTACAATTCAAACATGCAATATCAGTTTTGTATCAATACACATACTCGAAGTAGGTATTATAATGTTACGGAACTAAGCCTCCTTATGTGTCAGAAGCAATTCTTTCATAAACCAGAAGTCTTTTTGTATTTATGAATATGTGTTGAAGTTGTCGGATTCCTTAAACTTGACACGTAACCAACCTTGCTTAATCATGAAGTATGAAAATCACAAACTTCAATGCATAAAAGGACCCGTTTCTCTAACACTTTAGCTTGACATACATAACATGTTATATATTGTTTCTAAATGTCCGCTGGATGTGGTTACATCAGACTGTTTACAGACGTCATCTCTGGAAACCACTTCCAGTTCCGGTCCAATCTCAGCCTAAAATAGCAGTCCTAATGTTAAAGTTGAATATTGCTGTAAATCGTAAATGTTTATGGTCACGAAGTTTTCAAGAATTAAGATAATATGTGAATTGGCTTGAAATTTTATCATGATGAAATTTTAGAGGCATATGTTCTTTCAGACATCTTCACAGCAACACCTATCAGGGTTCAGGTTGCTGCTGATGCTGCTGTTGCCTGTGCTGCCTGCACCGAAAAATATAAACTAGCTGGAGATACGGAATGTCCGTAAGTAAATTCCATCTCAATACTCAAAACTCATTAAGTGATATGACAAATGAGAGATATAAACAGAAAACTAAACGATTGTGGACAACCCCCGTCTGTATCTGCCTTTAAATATAAATGTGAAATGTTTTTGAGTAACAATGGATTACCAAAGATGAGTGTGATATATACCATGCACGTTCTATCATAAGAGTCGACTTGAAAGGCTATGGTGATTATGATCAGATTTGGTGACTTGGCTCATTGTGTATCATCAGATTGGGTGAATTGGCTTATTGTGTATCATCAGATTGGGTGACTTGGCTCATTGTGTATCATCAGATTGGGTGACTTGGCTCATTGTGTATCATCAGATTGGGTGACTTGGCTCATTGTGTATCATCAGATTGGGTGACTTGGCTCATTGTGTATCATCAGATTAGGTGACTTGGCTCATTGTGTATCATCAGATTGGGTGACTTGGCTCATTGTGTATCATCAGATTGGGTGACTTGGCTCATTGTGTATCATCAGATTGGGTGACTTGGCTCATTGTGTATCATCAGATTGGGTGACTTGGCTTATTGTGTATCATCAGATTGGGTGACTTGGCTCATTGTGTATCATCAGATTGGGTGACTTGGCTCATTGTGTATCATCAGATTGGGTGACTTGGCTCATTGTGTATCATCAGATTGGGTGACTGGGCTTATTGTGTATCATCAGATTGGGTGACTTGGCCTATTGTGTATCATCAGATTGGGTGACTTGGCTCATTGTGTATCATCAGATTGGGTGACTTGGCTCATTGTGTATCATCAGATTGGGTGACTTGGCTCATTGTGTATCATCAGATTGGGTGACTTGGCTCATTGTGTATCATCAGATTGGGTGACTTGGCTTATTGTGTATCATCAGATTGGGTGACTTGGCTCATTGTGTATCATCAGATTGGGTGACTTGGCTCATTGTGTATCATCAGATTGGGTGACTTGGCTCATTGTGTATCATCAGATTGGGTGACTGGGCTTATTGTGTATCATCAGATTGGGTGACTTGGCCTATTGTGTATCATCAGATTGGGTGACTTGGCTCATTGTGTATCATCAGATTGGGTGACTTGGCTCATTGTGAATCATCAGATTGGGTGACTTGGCTTATTGTGTATCATCAGATTGAGTGACTTGGCTCATTGTGTATCATCAGATTGGGTGACTTGGCTCATTGAGTATCATCATGCCCCGTCAGCGTTCGTTGTTGCTCGTGCACACGATATGGCGGGAATAGTTCTGACGGTGGCCCTAAAAATGATCATATCATTCACATATTTCGGAACGTTTACATAAAATATTTATCCATATAATTGTATGCTGATATAGTGTATAAGACATCAAATGATACAACAGATATTGGGGTGTTATCTAGATGTACTTTGCAGAAATTTGAAAACGTACCTTGATTGTCTCGAAACTGCTGCGGGAACCACAGATGGATGCACACTTTCACCAGAAGATGCCAAGGAAATCACAGACGCTACTTGCAGTAAGCCAAAGTTCCCTATCGTTCGTATTACGATTTTCGCCTGCATTGGCCCCTTTATTTTATCATTTATTTTTCGAATTAGTTCTTGAGGATTATACGTACTGACATGACGAATGGCTGGTTAGATATTACTCATGTCAATTTAAGTTTTTTTTGCAGTTACATTCCTATTTAGGAAATATGTATTGTAAAGACAACGACACTTTACGCATTGGTGCGATTCAAGTTCCACAGCACATGATGTATAATTAGATGTAATACATTTTGATACAATGGAAACGTTTTTCAAAGCATTTGCTTTCTTTTGACCTGATCTATAGTGAAATTATATCACATCAATAAATCAATCTCAATGGTTATATGAACAACATACACATTACGTAAAATAATGCTTATATAACATACTTAGTGGCAAAGTAACTCATAAAATTATAAACAGATATATAATCAATAGATATTTCAAAGTGATGTCTAATGTGCAGGTGACACAACTCACATACCAAATAGAATGTGTTTTACGCTCTTCCACCTTGACAAAGTATTTGGGAGTCTCCTTTTAGCTGAAGTGGCAGTGTGCAACATTTAGTTATGAGTATATTTCTTATTTCAATTGAGGAGATAATGCCTTACTAGATGTTCACTGCATCGATCTAAAAGCGCCGATTGGCCCCGCAAATATCCGGGTTAGAACTGGCCTTCGGCAATCCATGCTTTTGGTAAATGGCGACTAAAGGGACTGAATGGTCAGGCTCGCAGACTTGGTTGATGTATGTCATCGCATGCCTGTTTCGTAGATAGATGTTCATGATGTCAATCACTGGATTGTCTGTTAAAGTCTTGATTATTTATAGACCGCCGTCATATAGCTTGACTATTGCTGAGTGCAGCTGATTGAATATTGGCATACAATAGACGGTTCCTGTTTCAAGGGTACCTCAAAAGCACTCAATCTGGCGTTTTCAATCGTCCATATTGGAGCATGTGGACATATTTCGGACTACAAAAGAAACTTATGGTCATGCATCAATCAAGTTTACACAACAAACTCCAACTACATAAAAACGACAAACTATTTCCATAATCACAAGAAATCCCTGCTGCTACAAACCAATGTCCATTGTACGATTTGACTTCAGAAACACATGCTGATGACATTGTTTCTTTTATTCACTCAGTTCTCCCTTTCCACTGTTTGTTAAAAATTTGTAATACGTATTCCCATGGTGAAGATGGCAAAGGATATGTGACAGTCCGACTGGCTAAAAAGCACGAAAGTAAAGGATTTCTTTTGGAAGCATGGTGTCGAAAACAAGACAGGGTCCAATCGGTACCTTCATATGACCCGGGAATAGTTTGAGATATGACACTGAAACAGATGTAGACATTGAATCAAGCTAACCCTGTACTAATAGAAATGTCCTAAATTTCAAACTTAAATTATGTACCCCACAGGGTAAGAATTTTCAGAATGTGTTCTTTCTTTAATCGATAAGTAGGCTGAGAATGTTGTAGCACACAGATATACATTGTACAGTGGATTCCAATTCCATTTCAGCGTCAGGTTTGGATCCACCCTGCCAATGCCAAAAAGAGTTCTGGGGAAGCGATCTAACTGACGACAAGGAATGCGCGTAAGCTCCAGATGATGAGGGGGATTTCATTCTTGGACTTAAGTTCAAACAATGTAAAAATCTATATTTACATGAAAATAATAAGTGTATAATAGTTTATGTATGTCTTAATTTGTGACGTCAGCATAAGAATAAACAAAAGAAATGCAGACTATTATACATTACTGTGTTTACAGCCATCACGTTGTTTTAGGGCTCTGAAGACCTACATCGGCTGTCTCAACAAAGACGCAACTAAATTTACATGTGATGGTAGCACCTTAGCCTCTGTACTAGTTACCAAACCGCAGGGGAGGTCGGATTCCAAGTGCAGTAAGTATCAGTTGCACATGTTCAGTGTAGCTTTTTGCAAAATCCATAGCCTCACTTGTATTTTTACATCTCCAGGATTAATGGTCCATATGCAGCCCCGTTTCGTACTGTATTCTCATATTATAATCTAACACTCAAAAATAATTAACACACGCCTTTCAAAAAGTATTGGCATTTTGCAACTGTAATCGACTCGTTGATATGAAAAAGGGAGAGGCTTCTTAATTATCCAATATGATTCTGCATTTTCAAAAAGCGTTTTGATCCAGAATGATGGTCGAAATAAAAAAAATTGCGTGCTGAATGGGGGTACAAACCTGTTAATACTATTGAAATGTTTCTGGTTTAACCGGATATATTAACTCTTTGAAAGAGTGCAATCTCAACCAACAATTTTATTTTGGGGGGATCATAGACTTAAGTATCCAAACAAGTCGAACGATAAGCAATGTTCATCATTTTTACAAAATGTACATTAATAAAAGAATTCATCTGCTAAATATAAATGATAAAAACATTTCCATATTCATAAGAAAACTCTGTCATAAACAGAGTCGACTGTGCGATTCCGACTATATAGTGACATGTGTTTATGAATCACTGTCAAATAGTCAAGGTACAAGGTGTTTACGAAAAGGTGAGCGTATCCTGCCTCATCGATGGCAAGTGTCACAAACACATACAAAGGCAAGTCACGTATTCACCTGGTCAAAATAGGGAATTGCATCGGACATTATTTTTGTCACTGATGCGACAAATATCGAAATATCTACCATAAAACTTTTTGAAAGCTACACTGAGGCCTTGAATGTTGTAACCTTGATCACACCAATTCTGGGCAGGAGTCTTACATTGTTCTTTCAAAGAAAGAGCATACTCCATTTTACCTCAAAAGTTGTGAAATGTAGTCACCAAGGGCTGGAGCTGCAGGAATGTTGCTTAACATAAATGGGAATGCCTACTTCTTGCAACGTACAAACACATTTGGATATGTGATCGAGTTGAAGGCGCAAGCCAATTAAAACTGTGTTCAATCTTATTGCACTTATTTAATTGTTACTACATGTATATATACTAATTGGTACTGGTATTTATGCTATCGCAATGCTTCATATACATATACTGTCTATGTACCAGATTCGTAGATTTTTTTCACAACTACTTTTACCACGAAATGCTATGAACTAAATGATTTATTTTGTCATTGCCACAAGATGGTAAGATAACATAATTGTCTGGGGATAGGAGTGATACCGTATTCTATCAACTTATTATATTCACGTATTTGGGGTGTAGTACACATTAGTGCAAAAACAGAGCCCCACAAAGTTATGCCAATAGAGATTAATCATTATATATACATATAACCTACACAAAAAGTTAGTTTTCTTTGTTAATTAATAGAATCATAACTCTTTTACAAAACAACAACAGGTACCACCAGCACCAGCACCACCATCACAACAACAACAAAAGGTAACACAGGTACAATTATTAGTTCAAAAGCTCTCCATAATGTATGGGCCTATATACCTCATTTTATTAGAAAATGACCCCAGACTCATATAACTGGAATATTGCCTAGTGCGACGTTAAACAACAAACAAACTTTGTCATTAAGACATGATGGTAAGATTGGATAACTGTCTTGGTATAAGAGTGATAAAGTATTATATCCACTAATTATATCCACGTATTTGGAGTGTAGTATCTACTGCTGGATGTAACAAAGCCCCAAAGAGACCCTTGTAAATGCCAAAAGGGAATACTCATTATAGATACATAGTATCTGTACAAAACGTTAGTTTACCTAATTAGTTTAATACGTTGTTGTAGTTTGAGTAGTTTGTTTCTTTGTTTGTTTGTTGTTTAACGCCGCACTGAGCAGTATTTCTGCTTTATGACGGCGGTCTGTAAAAAATCGAGTCTGGACCAGTCAATCCAGTGATTGACATCATGAGCATCGATCCACGTAATTAACACCCGATCCCGTTTGTAGCCTCAAGTCGCCTTTTACCGCAATCATGGGTTCCTGAAGACCTATTCTAACCCGGATCTTCACGGGTCTGCATCTGTTGATTAGTAATCTATGTTAGATGACATACTTCCAAACCTAACTACATTGTGCCAAGATTGTCTTGTCCTTCTCATGCCAGCTGGTACGGTTATGTGGCTGGGTAACGGGGGTGACTTTTGCTTCCAAGATGTGTGTTTTGGTTAAGTCTGTCTGTTTGTTGTTTAACGCCACATTCAGCATTATGCCACCTATATAGAAACGGCGGTCTGTAAATAATCGTGTCTGAACCAGACAATCCAGTGATTGATATCTTGAGCATCGATCCACGCAAATGGGATACGATGACATGCCTCAACCAAGTCAGCGAACCTGACCATCCGATCCCGTTAGTCGCCTCTTACGACAAGCATGGGTTGCTGAAGACCTTTTTAACCCCGGATCACCACGGGCCTTTGGTTCACCAGCATCTTTTTGAATATTTAGATATATATTTATATACATAATAATGATACCCTGTGTGACACGTAATTCTATCATAATCGATGTAACTATCATCAACCAGTGTTTTTAAGTCAACTCATTGCTCAGCATATTGGCTCGTATTGTGCAAAACCACCAGTTGCTAAAGTGATGACGTAAATCCTACTGGGGTATCATGCAGGAAGCAGGGGTATTGTAAGTCCCGATTATCCCCAGCGAGGTGGCCTAGCTTTGGGTACTGGTGGCCTATAGCCCGTGTTTTAAAACTGTATGTATAATATTGTTATGCACAAATATGTTTCATAAATTGTGTCTCAATATAGTATGCTCAAATATGTTTCGCAACTTGTTTTTAAATAAAACGTTGCATACAAAAACTAAATTGCTGAAATAATGCCAATGCGACGTTAAATTTTAACTCACTCACTCACCTTATAAGTGAGTGAGTGAATTTCGTTGTCTTCCGCAATCCGTATTATTACAGCACTATCACGTGGCATGTGAATACTCGAATCTGATCAAGGCACACGTTGTAACCACCTCATACTATTGCAGTCGGTAATTCGGATAAGCAATTCGCACCTTGGATCTTCTAGTTATCCGCGTATAAATTGTATATTCATGTTATGAGATACACGTATAAGCAGACACGTGTTGCTGAGATAAGGGTGTTTCCTTTCACTCCTGATCTATTCAGTTGAGGTTGCTTTTGTTGTTTTGTGTTGTGGAAACGGAAAGGTGGTCACAATGGACACACGGGCACTTACTTTAATGGATTGGTGACTTGGTTGACAGCGTGGCTAAATGCTCATGGTGCTGATCACTGGATTCTCTGGTCCAGACTCTATTGTTTTACAGGCTGTCGTAGTTTGTCAAGAGTATTGCTGTCTGTCGCGTTAGGGAAAACACACATACTCTTTCTATAAAGAATGTGTTGGGTACTACAGGTACAGTTTATGCTTACTGATTTTAGTGATCCATTTATATTATTTCCATCATTCTATTTTGTCGATACAGATTATTCATTGGCCTTGTGGTTTTGAATTTAGATTTCTCCAGGCAGCATCATGTCGACATTTCCATAATTGTCAATTACAGATTTTCACCATGTTAACGCTAATTCAACCATGAATTTGGAATTTACTCGATTCTGATTGGTCAGTCAGAGGCTATTAAATCACAATAAACCCCCTCTTATTGAAACAGCTGGTTTGACGGTTATTGCCGGTAGGCATATTTAAATAATTATATCTACAATTACAGGTTACAAAATGCACAGATGCGGTTACTACAATATTCAAAGGATGTGTGGCAATACATTTCGTGCAGAAAACACGATAGAAATCTACAAAGGGAATGTATTTACGTTTTGGAGACAACAGGCGCTTTTCTGTATGCGACTGTGACGTCATATCTTTTGCGTCACAATGAGCGACATGACGTCATAATGGTGACGTGATGTAGAGCGAAAGCCTTGCAAAGCTTGCTTTGTTTTCTTTAGGGATGCCCACCTCATGTTAGCTTACCAAGTTGCCGTGCTTATATGCTTTCAATGCCTGTCATATGTTCGAGTGAAGTATTAGGGTGTAAACAAACTGCTTAAGTATATACAGCGCCATATTTTGTTCGGTGATTCCGTAATTCAGATCGATGACCCACTCAAAACACTGGACTCAAAACAGTATGTTTATCTCCTAAGTATAGGCAATGAATATACGGGTATTTTGATCACCCTGTTCTCTGAGGCAAAATAGCGACTGCGGGTACACGTGCATCAATGATCGACGAAAAACATCTATGTAACATCACTGGATAAAATGAATGTCTTTGTATTTATTCAAAAAAGTTGTCAATTATGGTACATATAACATCGTTGTCTGAGGACATTAAAACATATTTTTTTTCGAATAACGCGTTTTATACTACATATGCGCCATCGTCAACACAATGTGTCTTGTGTAAATAGTTATTCCCTATATAATGTGTTGTGTCCATTCTGTATAGGTTCCGGAGCTTCTCAACTGAGAGTGTACAGTGCCATAGCTCTCTTTCTTCCCTTCGTCCTTACTGCATTCCGACTTTGACCGACCCAGGAATCGCACAAAACGCCTGCTTTCCAAACGTCTATCGAGTGTCGTCGCTTATTAACTGTCAAATTAATTACTCTGTACGAACATCATGCTTAAGACTCCAGATAGATGAAAACGTAAAATTATTAAGAATGTTTGCGGTTTTGTTTTAATCGTCATTGCAAGAATATTGATGTATTTTTAGTGATGACATTTTCAAGTCTCTTAATATTGTGTGCAGTGCAAGAGCAGGTAATTGTACATAACTGTTAACTTATTGGGTGTGATATGTACAAATTTTGAATTAAGAAATGAAGCTGCTGCAAACTGACTAACGGGGGAAAATCTCCAACGTACATTTAGGCACGGCTGAATATGTTTCCTGGTGACTCGAGCCTCCCCAAGAGGAACACTGACGATAGAAAATGTCATCAACCCTTTAGACACTTTGGCAGCAGATCTGTCAATTTGTGCATGGTATAAGTTTTGTTGGATTATGAATTTACCTATGTGATTGAAGAATAATCCTCGAATAAAAGTTATTTGCAATAGTCATGTTCTATCTTCTATTTTTTGGGTTTTAATAGCGCGTTAAATGATGATTGCACTTATATTGTGTGTTCGTGTGTGCGCGCGCGTGTGTTGTGAAATCAACAAAGAACCAACAATTGGTATACAATCAACAAATGTATTACAAAATTAACTAGGTTTCCAAATCAATACAAAGTACTGCACAGCAATTACAATGGCAGTCACAATAACGTGGTAGTACAATATTCAATAACAGCAGAAGTCGGTGATAATAACATATATTCACCTGCGGTGACAGTGGTCGAGCTAGGCAGGGAATCAGGGGCAGGGAAAGCTGGTTCCGATGTGATGAAATGCGTGAGAGATGCCTAAACTCGCTCTTCTCTCCTTATGTACAACCTACCTAGCTACTGGAAAGTTCCACTCAGTGTCCTCACCAGTCCATCGGTACTTGAACATTAAAGAAGTTTCCATAACATCCTATCACCGCCCGCGGTATACAGGACCGGACATTTAAACACCACACTAGAATCTAAATATAACAACTTCCTGACGACTGATCATTGTCCAAACACAATGCAATGAGCGTCTACCGAACGCCAACAGAAACAATGTAACATCTACAATCACTGTTAAACAATAAAATGCACTGCTATATAACAGTGTGTGTAAATGGGAACCTCCGCTTCGGATGGTTACAGTTACGTAAACACTGGTTTGTCTGGACAGGAATTAATCACTGAAGGCCGTGGTGATATTATTGCTGAGACACGACATAAAGAAGACAAGACAGCAATGGAGAGACATATATATGTTCATATATGCACCCGCACTCAATAATATAAACCCGCCGTAATATTGCTGCCATATTGCTAAAAGCGGCGTAAAACCACACTCACTCACTCACAATAACATCTTAATGGTATATGGTGTAATATGTGTCCAATACCAAACATATCACATGATAAAGGTGCTGATTGTGGCGTTAAACAACAATCATACAACAGTGTCCTGTGTGTCTTTGTCCAAGTAATGTCCGTACTCGGAAGCTATCATCACTTTGTCATCAATCTATTCGCCCTAGGAACAATGCGACAGTGGATGCATATCTTTGTCATGCCGAAAAGACCAAATACACATAGGTAAAGATGGTAACAATCTGTGAGTTACCTGACAGCATAGATGCTAGCCTGTGCAATCAAACACTGGTTTTCCAGGCCAGGAATCAATTACGAGATGCCGTTGTGATACAACTGGACTATTGGTTTCTGCACCATAAAGCAACATTGACTAACTTAACCTGATTATTAGGGATAGTCGGTAATACTTTTACCAGTGCTTCTCTTGCACATTACAAAAGCAGCGAACAACCACCTGAACTACAAACATATTAGTGTGTCTGCCTTAGTTGAATGCATTTAACGAGTAAGGTTGTACCCCAAACAAGTGTGAGACCGGAATAATTCAGTGATGGCAGAATGTCTTGTGTCGATGTCGTTTTTTCGGTTACATTCAACTTGAAGACATTTACGTGCGCACACAGTAACACTTTAATCAAGACAAAAGTCTAACGGTCCTTCCTAAAGCAATCTACATCACATACGTAACATATACAATCAAACAGAAGATTACTTACCAGTAAACAAGTTACCCTAGCGATATAGAACGTTATCACTTGCTGGACGCCACCATCTTGAATCAAGTCTCGCACTCGGGAGACTTGTTTTGACACATTAACTTTAACATTGAACACAAGCAAAACATATATGCAGGGCAAATACTACAATCTGATATTAAATCACAATACAGCTAGAACTGACCCGTGAAGATCCGGGGTAGAATAGATCTTTAGCAACCCATGCTTATCATAAAAGATGACTATACTTGTCGTAAGAGGCGACTAATGGGATTGGGTGGTCAGGCTCGCTGACTTGGTTTGATGTCGTCGTAGTATCCCAATTGCGTGAATCGATGCTCATGATGTCAATCACCGGATTGTCTGGTCCAGACTCGATTATTTTTCAGACCGCCGTCATATAGCTGGTATATTGCTGAGTGATGCGTTAAACAACAAACCAACCAAACCCCAGTCCAGGCTCCATAATGCCGTCTTGATGTTGCAATGTTGCGACGTAAAATCCGTTTGTCTAACTTACCTAATGAAACGTTCATAAATTATCACCGGACCGCTTTTCTTTACTCTCACCTTATCGCAAATACCTGGTATCATTACTAGTTGATAGTGATTCATAAACACATGCTCATGACACAATCGTACAATCGACTGAGATTTATTGTGGCTATGGAAAGGGTTGTCGCTTTAACTTCTAAAACCTGAACGTGATCATGATCAAGTTCAGAAATTGATCAAAAAACGAATAATTTATTGTCCAATTTTAGATAATACACCGGAAAACTGGAATAATGACGAGTTGTATCCGCTTGTGCGCGTCCGATCTTAGGTTATGGTAAAGAATGGCAAGAAATCACATGTACATGCTGCTGGGTTTGTGAAGTAACAAAGAGGAATTTCCCATCAAGTGGAATATAAAATGAGACTGAAATAACATGTCACCCTGTATGACAGCTTCGTTGAGGGTGATAAGAGGGACTGACTGAGTGACTTCGTTTTATGCCGCTCTGAACAGCATTTCAGTTGTATGACACTATGTCAGCTAAACGAGAATAACAAAGAGGAATTTCCCATTGACTGGAATTGAATACACTGACTGTTTATAACATCACGAGACCGAATCAACATCTCATCCGGTATGACTGCTTCGCTAAGGACGATATGACAGACTAAGTGAGTGAACTGGGTATCACGCCGCTCTGAACAGTATTTCAGTTGTATCTGGGCATTTCAGCTAAACAGTTTCACCTTGGCGAAACCTATACACGGGTTTACTAACCACGGATCCTTATCATGAATTTGAGATTCGAACACACTATAAGGAGATACCGGCAATGGCAAGGACCCCTTCTCTGCGCAGTAAAGAGGGGCGGTCGGGTAGCCTAGTGGTTAAAGCGTTCGCTCGTCACGCCGAAGACTCGGGTTCGATTCCCGACAGGGGAACAATGTGTGAAGGCCATTTCTGATGTCCCCGCCCTGATATTGCTAGGATATTGCTAAAATCACTCATTCACTCACTTTACCCCATGGCTAAACCACTATCACGAGATCTTTGTCAGGCTAAGGGACGCAATCCTATGCAGAACATTGCTGTGTCTGAGACCACTAGGCAAGTTGTTCCCAAGGCCATGTCCGCATGGTGTTCGAAATGCAGTAATATTGTGTATATTCTCGATCAAATGAACTGTCAACACATACACAATATAAATTAAATAAAAATGTCAAATTTCTTACTCTTTCACTTAAATATCTGAAAGGTAGGAATACCGTTTTAATATAGTAACAGGCAACTAATTGGATCAGGTGGTCAAATTGGTGACTTGGTTGATTGGTGTCATTGTACCCGTCGGCTTGGGACGTTGATCAAAATTTCGATTACTGGTTTGTCTGGCCCAGGCGCATTTTTTAACATGCTGCCATACTATCGAAGGTGCTGATTCCGTTGATAAACAAAAAACTAACACAAAGTGTAAATACCTCTTACGTCAAATACGCCTTCATTAATCATCTGTACGTCAGTAATTGCTTTTCAAAACACAAGCACATGTTTTTTTGTTAAACAATGAGCCAAAAATGTCATCGATCGTAGGATCCTGGCAGATCATGTGACGCACACCTACAAAGCGTTTTGAAGCGCTGTTATACCCAGAAGACAGAGTGAGTGAGTGAGTGAGTGAGTGAGTGAGTGAGTGAGTGAGTTAGTTAGTTAAACTTTATAGTCAGCCATCGTGCGCCATCGTGACTGGAAAATACTAAACATGTATGATAATATCTAAACCCTGTCGCTGATGGACAATTCAATAATTTGAATATCGCAGAGTTGAATATAAAACTAGTATAAAGCATAAACGTTCATAACAATTACTTGAAAGTATAGATCACTAGCAACTGAATGTAGATCACAATAATGGTACCTGGATTTACATCATCCCTTCAGGCCCAGAAGTCTTAAATAGATCAGGGAAAGAATTCTTGATAATCACTGATAGGGCCTGCATCTAGTCGCCCGGACCCGTCCTTACTATTGTTGATCATATTTTGAAAGTGAGAGAGTAGGTATTGTCTTATGCCGCTTTTAGCAATATTACAACAAACACTAGAGATGGGCTTCCCACATTGAACCATGCAGTAATACTGTGTATATTCTCGATTAAATGTACTGTCAACGCATCTAACATTTCTTTAGAACTCAATAACCATACCCTGTTTTCTGCTTGATTTCGTCCTGAGCTTAGCTTAACAGCTGTCATATTTGTTAAATTGTAACTAGTTTACGTAAATATCTGAACGGGTTAGAATGGTCCCCAAAAACCTGTGTTTGTCGTAACAGGCGACTAAGGCGATCAGGTGGTCAAATTGGTGACTTGGTTGATTGGTGTCATTGTAGCCGTGGGCTTGGGACGCTAATCAAAATCTCGATCACTGGTTCGTCTGGTCCAGGCGCAATTTTTAACATGCTCCCATCATATCGAAGGTGCTGACTCCAATGTTAAGCAACAAACTAATAAAAAGTCTAAATACCTCTTATGTCAAGTACGTCTTCATTAATCAACCGTACGTCATTACTTGCTTTGAAAATACATGCATGCATTTGCCAATAATCATAAAGTAAAAAATGTCACAGGTCATAGTATCATGGGAGATCATGTGACGCAAACCTGCAAAGCGTTTTGTGGCACTGTCATAAACCCAGAAGTCTAAGTGAGTGAGTGAGTGAGTGAGTGATGATGTCGACGATGGAAAGTACAATAACTAGAATATCCCAAAATTGTATATAAAATTAGTATTAGAGTATTAAAAGGTCATAGCTATTACTTGAGAGTATAATACAAAACATGAGAACAGGCTCCAGATCGCCACCATACCAATGACCATGGGGACCTTTGC